GCCGGAGTTATACACGAGCCCGAAGGGCCGGAGCTATACGCAAGCCTGAAGGGCTAGAATTATTTTAATCATGGGACTCCCCAGTCTGTAATTCTATTGGTCAACGAATAATTTGGAGCCAATCAAAAATCGGAAATATCCAAAATAAAATCATTAACATTCCTGAAAAATATTTCCTTTAAAATTCCCAAATATTTTTTGGAATCCGCAAAAATCTGTTAAAGTCTCAGAATTTCATAATTTAGTAGAATTTCCAGGAATTTCGGTAGAATAATTATGTTATTTTGAAAAAGGAATTAGATGTGAAATTTCCATAGAATTCACATTGAATTTTAATTCATCTCGAATTATTTGAAATTTCAGTGAAATTTTTTTTGAAAAGAGTATTTAATTCTCTATAATTCTGTGTGAAATTGAGTTTTTGAGCAATTGAACCTCAAAGTTATTTTTGACGAAAATCAATTTTTTTTTTTTTTCAAATTTTGACAATGTTAGGAATAATTGCTCATATTTTCGTTAAAATTCGTGCAAATTAAATAAGTTTTATATCAATGGAAAAAGCATTAAATTCTCTATAAATCTGTGCTAAATGAGTTTGATAGGTCAAATACTCTCCAAGTAATTAAGCCTCAAAGTTGATTTTTGGTTGAAATTTAGTCAAAAACTTCAAATTCGGTTTTCTCAAAAACCATAAATGCTAGCGACTTCAACTAAGTACCATTTTGAAGCCTTCATTAAGGGTTACAATTCCTGAAAATTTTAATTTAAAATCACTCATACATTTTGAAATATTGACAATTAAAGATTTAGAAATAAAATACTTTCAAAAAAACTCAAAATTTTCAATTTTTCAGATTTTCGCAATTTTGACTTTTCCAATGGATAGAGCAAGTCTAGATAAGTCGAAAATTACTCTAATATCATTAGAAAATCTTCATTTTAATACAGAGAGAATTTAAAAAGAAAATCTCAATTTTTAGGTTTAAATTTTTTTTTGAATCCTGATAAAGTTAGGAGCAATTGCCAATATTTCCATTAAATTTTGAGCAAATCAAAATAAATTATATATGGTTGGAAAGAGCATTAAATTCTCTATAAATTAGTGCTAGATTGAGCTTGATAATTCAAATATTTTTGGAGCAATTGAGCCTCAAAGTTGAATTTTAGTCAACAAAGTATCAAAAACTTCAAATTGAATTTTCTCAAAAATCGTAAATACTAGTGACTTCAACCAAGTACCATTTCAAAGCCCTTATTAAGGGCTACAATTTCTAAAAAAAAAATGATCCAAAATCTATAACGGGTTCCAAGAAAATTGAATTTCAAAATTTTGAAATAAATATCCTAAAGGGGTACCCTTTCAAAAAAACTCAAAATTTCCAATTTTTCAAATTTTCGCAATTTTGACTTTTCCAATAGATAGAGCAAGTCCAAATTAGTCGAAAATGACTCTAACATCATTACAAAATCTTGATTTTAATACAGAGAAAATTTAAAAAGAAAATCTCAATTTTTAGGTTTAAATTTTTTTTTGAATCCTGATAAAGTTAGGAGCAATTGCCAATATTTCCCTTAAATTTTGAGCAAATCAAAATAAATTATATATAGTTGGAAAGAGTATTAAATTCTCTATAAATCAGTGCTAGATTGAGCTTGATAACTCAAATATTTTTGAAGCAATTGAGCCTCAAAGTTGAATTTTAGTCAAAAAAGTATCAAAAACTTCAAACTCAATTTTATTAAAAACTGTAAATACCAGCGACTTCAACCAAATACCGTTTTAAAGCTCTTATCCAGTGGCGGCTCGTCAGAGGAGGCAGGGTAGGCTTAACCTCTTCCAAAAAATTGGAAATTGAATCTCAGTGTTTTATTCCTCATTCTTAATTAAAATAATTCACAAATTACACTTTCCAAATTTTGATATTTCAATGTAATTTAGAAAAATGTGACAACATTATTTCAATCAATCCCGTGCCTTCACGACAAAAATTTGTGAATTTGAGATACTCAGGAATATGAGCTTGAATAGGACTCCGGCCCGAAGGGCCGGAGTTATATACGAGCCCGAAGGGCCGGAGTTATACGCGAGCCCGAAGGGCCGGAGTTATATACGAGCCCGAAGGGCCGGAGTTATATACGAGCCCGAAGGGCCGGAGTTATACGCGAGCCCGAAGGGCTAAAGTTATTTTAATCACGGGGCCCAGTCTATAATTCTATTGGTCAGCGGATAATTTGGATGCAATCAAAAATATTCAAAATGTGATTTTTAGTTGATATTCCGAGTTTCAGTTCTCTCCGATGTCAGGGCCGGTTCTCGCTCTTTGGCCGCCTTTATGCAAGAGCTTGTTTTGCCGTCCCCCCCTCCCACCACCCCCTCTTCCAGTGGCGTAGTGACGATAATCCGGGCCCGTGTTCAAAAATTATATCGGGCCCCTACGTCCTACTCCAGTGAGATAAAAAAAAAATTGAAAAATGAGAGAAATATATATTTTTTTTGAAATATACAGGGTAAACCTAAAGTATGGAATATATTTAATATAAAATAAATGAAGGCGTTTTGGAAAAAAATGCTGAGACACGTCTATTTTGTTTTTTTGCTTGAGATTTTTCAACACCAATTTTTCTATACAGCTTGTTCCAAGAACAGCCTGTATTATTATCAGTTTTATTTTTTTTTTTAAATCGTACCCTCTGTATGTCTTGATATTTCTGGATTCTAATTCAAGCCATATTTCATGTACAATCTCATTCCAGAAATACCCTTATAGAATAAGAGAAATAATTATAAGTCTACATAAGAATATATAAAATGAATTTTATACCACCTTAAATATACAGGGTGATTCCATAAATTCTCCACTACATCGTGGGAAAAAAATATTTAAAATATTATAAAGTTACTCTTAATAAAGTTATTAGAAGGTAAAATTGGCAACATCTTAAGGGTTATTTACATTCACTCAACTTAACGTACGGAAAATTATAATTAACGTACGAAACTGAGAAAAGCATGTATTTACAATGAAGTTAATGCGTACTTATAACCTCAACTGTCATGTCAAATTATAAAGCACAGAACTAGAAATTAACATACGGATTTCCTTATGTTGAAGTTGGCTCAACTTTTTCGTGTGTCACGTTAATTTTCTTAATTTTTAAATGGATGTAAATAATTAGGTATAACACAACTTTTCTTTATTGTACATTTTCCGTACGTTAAGTTCAGTTAAGTAGATGTAAATGACACTTTTAGAGGTAATAGACATTTTACAGTTTGCAAAATTCATTTTAAAAGGTAGAATGTAACTGAAGTGATCTTTTTTGTCATAGATCAATAAAAGACCT